TCCTGCATCTGGCATCACAGGTTGCCAGTTTACACCCTCTGACGATTCCCCGTCCATAGAGTTCCCAGCTTCCCAGTTACACGTTTCACAGCCCTCCTCCACCAACCAAGCTCTGCAAAGGGCCTGCAGTGAAGTGGAGAATTGTGCCTCAAATCTCTCGTGCTGAGCTTTCACAGCCTTTTTTTGTCCTCCTATGGTTTCCCCTCGAAATGGAGAAATGTAGGGCTCTATGTTAACTAAAATTTAAAAAATTCTAAATTAAACAAATTCCAAAACAGCAACACAGAGATTTGGACAAAGTAGAGAGAGTCCCACATATCCAAATAAGCTATATGGAGCATCTGAAACAAAGAGGCCAGGGAAAAAGTGATGTAGTTTGAGGGAAACAAAAGCTTGGTGTTTCTTCCAGTCCTGTTCCATTTTAAATGCTCTAAGCCACTTGAAAATGTGTTAGGGAGGGAAGGGAGGGTGATCATTGTACTTGGAAATGATTGTGCTGCTAAAATCCATCATCTGCTTACTTGGAATTGTTTCCCTTCCTTTTTATTTTTAGGGATATTTGTATTTTTCTCTCCTTCCTGCTCTTGCCCTGCTTAAAATCCTCCTTGCAGTTACCAAAGTAACCATAGGCAATATTCCCCAAATAGACAAGTCTGACTTCAGGTGAAGAACAAACAGCAGACGCACATAAAAAACAAAGATCTGGATCTCACATGAAGGTCTTTACAGAGCAAAAGGGAGCAAAGAAGTTAATAATGCAGAGTGCCTTTCATAGTTTCCTGGGAGATGTCAGTGGCTCAAATCCTACAAATGTTTTGGGGGTAAAAGTGTTATTTTTGGCACAGACAGCTGTATCCAGCAGAGACTGCTCATGTTGAAACTTGCAGGAAACTCAAGTGCTATGGATAGGCACAGATTTGTTTCCCAAAGTTCAGGGAAATGCTGCTCATGGAAACAGCAGGTCTCCTCTATTCAGCAGTACTCTTTATATTTCCCACTGGCTTGCTAGCAGTAGTGACACAGAGTGCCAGTGGAACAGGATTTAGTGGCCGCTAGCACTTTAACCACCATTTAGTTTGGTCCTGGCAGGTTTAGACAAAACAGTGGTTAACATGCTGCAGGAAGGCCAGGCTGACTGTGTCACCATAAATACCATGCACTGGTGGGAAATAGGAAGAAACATCCTATTGTTGAAATAGGAAGAAACATCCTAGAGTTGACCTAGTCCTTCTGAGTGAGCCTCCAACTAGCAGCACACAAAAGTCACGGTCTTAACACACCTCAGAGCCCTTTTCTAAGTATGTAAGTGTAGCACAGAACGTACCCATAGTTATGGTGTCCTACTGCAAGGCAGAATGACAACATTTTGGAGTCATGTAGGTCCCTGGGTTACTGAACCCCTGGCCTTCCTTTGACTTCCAATGGAAAGAGGCCTATCAATAAGGCTAGCAGATGGTCCGCTTTCCTCCACACCCCCACTTGCACAACAGAGTCTGGGGACCTGTTCCCTCTTCTCTTTTCTGAAGACTTTGACAGGCCAGTTTGCCATGCTACCTGCTGGTTTCTGCTGCTCTTCACTGATCTGTGCTCTCTGTGCTACTAAGAACTATACCGCTGAAGTACTTACTGTACTGTTGAAGTTTAGTACTTGCTTAATGAAGTACTAACTAAAGGCACAGTAACTGCAGTTACTGCGCAGTAGCACTGGCGCATGGTTTTTTGGTGATGCTTACTGCACAGTAGCCTAATAACACTGCACAGTAGGATATTAGCAGAGTTATTGACTGGCACACTACCTCACAGGCTACTGTGCAGTAAGCATCTTGTGTAGATGCGCCCACTGACTAGTTAGGATCTTTTTTAAGTACCTCCGGCCCAAATCACTCCTGGACATCACATGGCACCAGGGGTAAAATAAATAAAAATAAAATAATCTGAGTGGCAGAATAGAGCAGTTACCAGCTTCACCAGAGTTGTAACTCTGGAAATGTGAAAGATCAATGGGAAAATTGTAAAGAGCACTTCATTTCCTCTGCAAGCCAAGGGAGCCAGTAACATGGAGCATAGCAGCAAGCAGTCCCATTTCTGACAATAGCTGGTTCTGATGCACTTGATGTGTTTAACAGGTTTTGGTTAATTTGAGCATAAGAGGTGGCTATGAAACTCTATTACAGAAATTTGAGGAGCCCTGCACTCCACGTGAAATGAAATGTGAGAGAGATGTTCTTAACCTGAGATCATAAAGGGAAAGTCAAACTGTGGAAGAGTTCATGGCTGATCTAACACTGAAGAGCCACCCTTCCCATTTTGGAGGCTAACCAAATCTCTGATAAAGACACTTAAATCCCAGAGAGAGACTATGAAGCAACCCAAAATTACACCTTGACAAAGCAAAAAGCAGTTCCCACACCATTCATTTGGTTGGGGGGGGGGGGGGGGGGGGGGCG